GAAATAAACAAAAATAGTTAATCATGATATTTAACTACGTGCATTGTGCATGCATAAAAGCTAGTGTATATATATGTATGTGTGTGTATGACTAACTAGTTTATTTGTCAGTTCGAGTTGGTTCCTTTGGTGCAAAAATGTGGAAGAATAAATTGAGATTGATGGCATGTCCAATGAAGCCTGATGAGTTTCCTGATTTTGAAGTTTGACAATGTTGTAATAAAAGAGTGACTAATATTATGGTTAACCAAAATGAGCATTAATTGTAGAATATACAATGCAAAATGAACATTTATTGAGAAATATAGGATGATTACGAACATAGGAGTGGTCATTAAGTGTCAAAGTGGAGAAAAGATTCTTATAGCGGCCAAAACAGTCAGATAAATGGGTTCATTTCTGAGGGTTTTTAGGAGGGCTTATTTTTAGGAGCTTATAAGTCATGCTGTCTTTCGATGGCTTTTGTCTTTTGAGATAAAGTTCTTATAAAAATTGTATGGGTAGAATGGTCATATACTTGGTCAAACCTAGTTTATTTATATGAGCTTGTAAGCTAGTTTTCTAAAAGTTGGAGTATCTTAACTTTTTTAATGGGACTTATAATCTAGCTTATTGATAATTTACCAAACAATTAGATATGGAAAAAGATGGCTTAAAAGCTAGTTTAACTAAAAAAAGCCTTCCCAAACACCCTCTATGTCACTGCTGTTGGTGTGATCATTATTTCTTAAGCATCATAACTTAGTACGCGGGTGATGTATCAGGTAGTCAAGTTTTGTATGGACATCCTAACCAAAAGTCAATAAATAATCAGGTTTAAAGCTGAATCCAATCTGTAAAGTCTTTAAGCAATTGAAATTTTGTATCCTTACATGAAGTTTAGGTTTGGTATTTGCTACTAGGACTTAAAGCTGGTGTTGGGGCTCACACATGAAGCATTTTGGTTGGCGGAAGCAAGGGGGAGGAAAAGCTTTAGATTATAACCATTGCCACTTGGAAGCTGTAATACTTGACATCATTCGCACTTGTTGGTTGGGCACTAAAAATGGATAGATATTGTGTTATATACATGGACTGACCAAAGATTTATTATAAGCCTCCTGGCTCCCGCCTCTTCATTTTGCTACCAATAATATTGATCTTTCTATCAAGGTTTTAAATGTCACCCGACATGTCCGACATGTCGATATCGGTTTGAGGGCTTGACCGACACGACATGGACGTTTTCAACTCGTATGTCAGTTTTCAGGGCCAAATCGGAAATATCAGGGTCATATCAGGCATATCGGCCTATTTTTTAGTTTTGAAAAAGCGACCGATATGGTACTTTTTTTAAGATCTGTTTTTTGTTATGAGGTTTGGGTTTAGTGATAAATACTCAAACTCTTTTGACCCGTTCTCATGTTTAAGGGTTTCTTATGAACCCGATAGAAAGAATTTATGAACCTAAATCCATATATTATTTACTTTTTTATATGTTTAGTCTATAGAATTTATAAAGTATGCTTATATTGAATTTATAAATGCTTAGATTACATTTAGGACATGATATTATACTATGCGCACTACCCGATATAGAAATCCGATATTTAGTCAATGTCCCCCGATATATCCCCGATTTCCGCTATCCGACATGGATTTCAGCCATCCGACATGAACCCGACATCCGACATTTAAAACCTTGCTTTCTATGGATACTATTACCCTTAATCTAAATTCTTAGCCATGCGTCCTCCATCTTTCTGTGCATGGCTTCCACTGTGTTTTCTTCTTCCCTGTGGGACACCAGAGTTTGCTTTGGGAACGCATGCTAGGAGCATTAAAATGATAGAAATCATTGTATGAAGTAGTAGAATATTTTGGGAATCTTCAGATTATATCAAATATGGTATTATCATTTCTAGGGAGTTGATGTCATAGAGTCAGATGCCTGGAATGGGATGCTACAGAGGATGTTGTATTTCACATTCATTGCAAAGCAACTCCATGGTCACTGATTTTGTAGATATATTCTGTACTTCAACTACCAACTTGATGATTGGTCTTGTGCTGTGGAAGGCCTTCTGAAGTATACAATGGTTTTTGGCATATGGGTTGATTCATTTCTTTATACAGAAGTGAGTTATAGAGCTTATTTAAGAACAAATATAACATGAACAATTTCTCATTTAGGGTGTCAAGATGAAAACCTTCTCCTAGAGATACCATTTCCTTTTAGATACAATTTAAATCCGGTCTGTTTTTCCATTTCAGTGGAAAACTGTGTTATTAGCGGTATTGCATTTGTTTAATGTTTGTGAATTATGTATTTGTTTTTTTTCCATCTAAAGCTACTGATGGTATCCTGAATTCTGTTGATTTCTTATTGCGTGTGTTATTTAAGTTTAAATCCATCTTTAACATCTTTAATATTATAATTGCTCTGTATAACTTTGAGTTAATATACAATCATGTCTCTGGTATCAAATTGCTGGTAGCATACTTGGGATATGCAAGATCTTTCAATAATTGATTAGTGTTAGTAAACTGCACCAGACCTGATTCCCTTATCATCTTCAGAACTTACTACTGTTTCCATTGCATGCGATTTATTTCTGTGAAATCAGCAGTAACATCATCATAAAAAGCTTTCTTTATATGCTCGCTAATATAAATAAATTGTATCAATGTTTTGTTGTCCTTATATTTTAAGAATTAATTATTGCTTCTAGTCCGTGCAATTCATTTTCTTTTCTTTCCTTTCTTTCTTTCTTTCTTTCTGTCTTTTTTTTTTAATTTTTAACCAGTAGGAAAAATTCTCTCTTAACTTTTTGTCCTAGTTCTTCATTGGGTTTAGGCTTCTTAGTATTGACTACTTTTGAGGTTTAGAAATAATAATAATGATTCAAAATGCTTGAGAGCTAATTGTCCATTTAAGATTTATTAATTCTTCTAGAAGTAAAAGCTACTTCATGTGAAGAATAAGGAACTATTCTATAGATTGTTTTATTACTATTTCCTTGGCAGCTAGCTTGACCCAACTATGTCTTCTAGACTTCAGATGAAACTGAAGATGACCTCACTCCTATGTCATTCCCATTTTATGTATACTTAGCAGTCAGCAGTAGTGCTCCTGTGCAATGTAGTGCACCCATGATATAATTCTTTAGCTATTCTTAATATGTGTAGCAGAATATCATGAGTAAAATGTATTAATTTTAAGATGTGTGCAAATTGAGAAGTATATATAAATTGGGAGAAGCCTCTGAATATTATTCCAATGAACTGTTGTATATAATTGAATAACATGGTTCAGGAAATATTGATGTTACTAGGTTGGTCAACAGAGTGAAGATTCATGTGATAAGTATAGGTGATGCATCCGCAGACGGGATGGTGTATGATTTGGATTATGTTCAACATCTTACATGTCTTAAGTATATATGATAGGTGGTGAACTAATGGAATTGGTTTTAGATTCTTGCATGCGAAGGAGATGGATCTAGAAGGTCCTAAAAAGGAGGGGAGGGTAGAGGCTAAGCACCTGTTTGTTTCATTTCCTGAAATTGTAGGAAACCCCTTTTCATGAAGGGGGGAAAAACACCACCTTGTCTGCATTTCCAGTGGTTTTCTTGGAATAGTGCGTTTTATGTTTATTTCAAGCTTTAAACAAGAGTGGAGAGCAACGTTCGTGTTAATCTATTGTTTGGTTGCAAACCCAGAAAGAGGGCCCCAACTTAGAAAAGGAGAGAGAGAGAGAGAGGGATTGTCAAAAAAGAATGAGTTGTCACCCACTTCCCCAGTTTTTGTTGCCAAAATAATGCAATGTGTTAGATCTCCGCCCAATTCCAGCAAAAAAAGTCGAATTTGGGTTTCCATAAATTTTACGTGGTTCACACCTTTTTTGGAACTCTTTACTGATAAAATTGGTGAACCAAACTAGAGAATAGGAAAACTTTTTGGGAATTTTTTTCGGGAATTTTTTTCCAGTGCGCGTCAGGGATTTTGACACGTTTTCTTGGGTCTTTTGCTGTAACCAATAGGCCCTAGAGGAATCTGACCTGCAGGTTTTTTTTTTTTTTTTTTTTGCATTATGCACGGGTATTTGAACCATTTCATGTTTATCTGGTGAAGGAAGACCTCAAGGACAAAGTGATTATTATCATGTGGGAGGATTTAGCAGGTGTAGCCTTCTCTAAACTGTTTAATCACTTAATCAGCTTAGGATTCATCTTGTTCTGCTGAATTCAAACCAGAGGTAATAAAAGTAAAACAAAGAAAAATAATTAAAGCTGTGGCAGTTATTAAAGAATTTTTTTGGAATATTGTGTTTCATGGAACTTTAGATATATTTTCAAACCTATGATGAAATAGGTAGTAATGGTTAAGTATAATGCCGTAGCACAACGGTGCTGAGCAACTATTACTGTGTCCTGATTCATGCATAATATAATACATCACTTAGTTATACATGAGAAGTAAAGATATGGTTATCTGAAGTTTAAGTACAACTTAATTATACACTCCATGAATGAATATGGTGGCATTTGAATGTGATATACCCTTCATTTTTTGAGTCATAAATTTCCTGTGGAAACTAGAATTATATTTAGAAAAGCCTTGATATGGGACCACAACTCCCTCACAGTAACAGCGACTCATCCCCATGTACACAAATACAGAACAACCAGGGAAGGAAAGGGATTAAAAATTTTCTTGCTCACCTCAAAAACAGTGTGCCTGATCTTAGCTTTTGGCCGCACATTTTCACTAACATTATGCTGGTCATAATAAGACCTAAGTTTATGCTAGTTGTCGACTACCCAATGCAGGCCTCTTTTATCATGGCCCGGGACATGCAGTGAAAGATAAACATTAGAGCGTACCACTGGCTGAGTTACATTGTTTGCTAACATGCAACAATAAATTGAAAGATTATACTCGATTTCCATCACTATCCCTTTGAATTCTTTGTGAGTTTACTCTGCATTCTCAGTTCTAACCTCAACAAGTATTTGCAGCCGTTATGCTTCATGCCTGGAATATCTCGAGAGCCTCAAACCCAATCTGCTGCTGGATATCCATTTGTACGATCACATCGAGGCACTCTATGCTCAGATTCGCCAGAAAGCAATCATCCAATATACAACTCCGTTCATTTCTGTTAAGCTTCCCACAATGGCTGAGGCCTTCAAAACAAGTGTTGCCGAGCTGGAGAAAGAACTTGAAGCTTTGATTACAAATAACCAGATTCAGGTAACATGATTCATCTCACTTTGCCATTAGCCAAACTTGCACCATTGAATAAAGGATTAATTACTTTATGTACCCGGATAATGTAATTACACTGGTTGGGGTACCCGCATGTGGTTAATCCTTGGATAAACCGTCATTTGTGTTTTTATGTTTTAATTGACTGCTGGTGATGTAGGCTCGAATTGATTCACACAACAAGATTTTGTATGCGAGACATGCTGATCAAAGGAATTCAACATTCCAACGAGCTCTACAGACTGGGAGGGAATTCGACAGGGATGTCAGAGGAATGCTACTTAGAGCCAATCTCATCAAACATGATTACAATCAAAGGTCGGCTAGGAAATTTTGAAAGGGGGGGAGAAAAGTGAAATATTATGAATTATCTTCCCTATTTTTTGGTTTGCTTTTTAGGTTATGGTTCTCTGTTTACGGAATTTATGGTGGATTTTTACGGTTCATGTACATACCGAGTAAATATCATCTAGTTTGGCTCTGGTATAATGCTAGAAAGTTGTGGCCTAATCCGTGCATTTGGTCGCTAGGAACTATATTTCATTATTATAGTGTTATTCCTTTGCCTATTGAAGTAATTCTTTCTGTTTATTTATAGTTTCCAGACCTCTACACCATCACGCGTCCAGTTGGACTTTGTTTTAGGTGTTAGAATAGGAAAAGTAAAAGTAAAGCCAGTTTGCTGATTTGTATTGCGAGGGATGAACTTGGCTTTACTTGTTCTTTTTCCTTTTTTAATGCTGGGATCAAGACGTACAACTGGCGCCATCTTAGTTTATGTTCGTCAAAAAGATTATATCATACCTTATTATTATTGTTTAGATTCACTTGTCACACATCTGCTATGTGCTTGGCCTGAGTGCACTCAGACTTCTCAGATTACTTGGCAGTTCTTTTGACGGCTGATTTGAGAGTCTGCTATGTTTTGTCCGTTCAAATTGGCTTTTTTTTTTAAAGATTTTTAAAAAGCATTTACTTTCCGTATGCCGAACAAAGTTGCTCTGTTTTCGTGTTTCAGTAATTAGTAGATATTTAATGAACATCAAAGTTCAACTATTGTTTATGTAAATCCAACTAGATAAAATGTTTTTGGTCTAACGCCCTCTCATCTATTTCATTTCTTATATATGCCAGTACCGTTTGGGTCTTTAGCACACGATTTAGTCCTTTGCTGCCAAATACGAGCAAATAGTCTGCTAATTCAGTTGCAACTATCTATCGTTTATATTATTGGGATTTATTTGTAAAACTAACATTTACAATCTCCTAGCATTCCGCTCGCATTTTACTTAAGAGGTTTTTTAGTTATTAGTCCCTCAAATCTTTAATAACTGCATACTAGTCCCTCACATTTTGAAAATTACAGATTAGTCTCTTACATCTTGAATAATTGCATATTAGTCCCCCAAATCTTAGAAATTGTAAATTGCTCCGTCAAATCTTATAGAGTCTTGTAAAATGATCCCTTAATTAGTATTTTAGTTAAAAACTCTAATCATGACTAGGTTAACTCTTAACCCAAAATCTGCAATTACCAAACCACTCCTCTCTTCGAGGTTTTAACCCTTTGTGAAGCTCCACTTTTAGCTAGCTTTTTTTCCCGTTAACCACTGGAGAGAAACTCAAATGAATTTGGATTCATGTTAGGTGGGTACTAGGTTTAAACCTATTAAGAAGTGAGTTGGGGAATATTATAGAGGGATAAAATAGTCACTTTGCATGTAAACATTAAATTTGGGGGTATATTCTCCCCAAATCTAACATGATTTATCCTAAAGGATCATTTTGCAAGACGCTATAAATTTTGAGAGACTAATATGCAATTTTTAAGATTTGAGGGACTAATATGTAATTATTAAAGATTTAAGAAATTGATATGCAATTTTTAAGATTTGAGGGACTAATATGTAATTATTAAAGATTTAAGGGACTTATATCTGAAAACACCTTTCCTTAAGATGAATTATAGAAGATTGGTGTTGAACAATGGATTTTACATTTGTACTTCTTTATCGTAAAGAGAGCTAATCTCTTTTTAAAAAAAGTAAAGAGAGCTAATCTCAAGATTCCTAAAAAAGAAAGTAGTTAGGTTATTACTTCTTATTAAATTAATCAAATGGTTCCCTTGGTTTTTTTCCTTTAATTTTCCTATTTTTTCTTTTTATTTATTTATTTATTTTACTTTAAAGACAACCGAATCCCAACACTTAGACAAAAGAAAATGAGGAGTGATAATTATACTATTCTCTTCAAACGAATTCAACAGTATTATACTCCCTTTAAAAGCACGAGTTCGGAAAATTTTTTTTAGACAAATATACCCTTTTATAGTTTGAACTACCTTATCTATAATCAAATCCTAATTTTCAATGGTCAATATTACCCTTCACTATTTTGAATATTTTATTTATATCTTAATTTATTCTAATCATAGTCATATCTTATCCTAATCCTATGTGAACCATGTTTAGCTTAATAATTTAAAAAAACTAATATTAATAAAATATATATAACATAAAAATGATATTAGTTTGTTAAGATAAAGAAATTACAAGTAGATAACATATTATAATACATGAAGTATTGCAAAAAACCATAAAAAGTTTTAAAATTACAGAAAAGACCCTAAAAAGTTTAAAATTATATAACTCATCCAAATGTCTCAAAACTTAAAATAAAAAACATAAAATTAAAAAATTAACATCAGTTTGCAAAGAATTTAAAATTTACAGTTAACACCTCAATGTCTCAAAAATTATAGAAACACCCTCAAAAGTTTAAATTACAAACAAGCACATTAAAATTCTAAAATTTGTAAATAAAATAAGATGAATTCAAGATATTACCCTTAGACACCTAAAAAATTAAAATTTGCCAAAATTAACCTTAAAATTTTTAAAAAACTCCTTCAAAATTTAAAAATCATAAAAAAACTCTAAATTTTTAAAATTTTTAACTAGCACACATCAAATTCGTCGATTGGTAGACCGTTGAAATTTAATTTTTTTTAAAATTAATCTATAGTTTTAATAATTACAAAAGACACCCTCAAAATTTTAGAGTTACAAGAAATATACTAACATTTAAAAAATTACCACCAACACATGAAACATAGAATTTACAACTACCAAACTTAAAAGTAAATTTTTTTAAAAACTCTTTCAAAATTTTAAAAATTATAAATCACACCCTCAAAGTTCAAAACCACAAAAATGGGCTAAAATTTTAAAACTTGGCAAAGAAAAGTGTAATTGTTTGGTATTTTATATATATATATATATATTAAAATTTCTAATTTAGGGATTTACTATCCATTTTCAGCATCTAAGAATAGTCTAAGTTGATACTGGTAAACAAAAACAATAAGAATTGATTAAAAACATCCGGTTAATGGATAAAATTTTTAAAAATATTATAGATTAAAAATTATCGGCACTATATAAATTAAAGTAATTTCATATAATTTTAGTAATAAGTTGAGGTAGGCAAAATACATTCGTAACATTAATTGATAGATGTTTAAATCCATAAAAATGATAAAACACTATAATATTATACCTTAGCATTAATTGATTTTAATTTAGAAACTTTAATCTTTGACGTTAATAATATTTATAGGGTAAAAGAATACAATGAATTACATATGGAGAAACTATTAGAATATTTAGAGATAACTTTAAAAGAATTGAGTTATTTCCATTGCAAATGGGAAAATGATGAAAATAAATCTAAAATTCAGAAAACGTCAATGAATCACTTGAATTGGCATTAACATAAGACATATCTATTAATGAAGCACTGAATGAGTTACATTAAAAAATAATTTAATAACTTTAACTAATCAAAGAAAAAATCTCCATGGAAGACATAAGAAAAATTAGTAAGTATTCATAAATTCCATACTGTGTTCTTCAAATTAAATATTAATATTATAATCTAAGAGAAATTGGTAATGAATAATGCAGGTATTTAGTTTAGATCTTTATGGAAAATGACAGGGATAGAGCAAAGGTAATATTATTGAAATAACAGAAATTCTTATTGGATGCACATCAGAAGAATTCATTTTAGAGGAAAATAAACAGATAGCTTCTAATTTATTTAAGTAATAAATTAGGAACACAAAGAATTTTATATATATGAAATTAATATTTATTCTCATTGAAATAAAAAAATCAAAGTCTATACTTTGAGCAGTTTGTGTTGAACATCATAAGTACATTTGACTTCTTTGTAAAGTTAAATGAGATACTAAAAAATTAAAGAGCCTAGGAAAGATAATAGCATAAAAAATATAAAATTAGCATGACGTCACAATTGATGTAGATGATGAAGACAATACTCTAGAATTATCCAAAAAATGATAAATGATAAACCTGAAGAATAATTGATCTTAACTCAATAAAAAATAAAATAGAAGAAATAAAAACAATATTTTATGAATATTTTATAGAATAGTTTAATTATTTTAAGTAAAATTAGGAATCTTTAGAAGGGAGTTTCATGAATTTTTTTCAGTACTTTTATATTATTATGTGGATGTTTTTATCATATAAAAGTATACTAGAGTTAGCATTAATCTTTAATTTATATTTTTTTATGAAGTCTATCAATGATTAGGAATAAACTTCATATTCTCTTTTGCATCGTTTTAACATACTTTAAATCAATCATTTTGCCATATTGGTTTTAAATATTAACCTTCCTTGTATAACACTATTTTAATATTTTTCACTTTGCAATGCTATACTTTCTCAAATAAAGCTTAGTTTCATATCGGTCGAAAATAATATGAAAATTCAAATTATTTTTAAATTATATTTGTTTTTTGTCAATTCAAATATCAACATGAAAATTTAAATTGGGTGTATCTCATTTAAACAAACATAAAAAAATAATCGGGATGTAAGAGTTTAAAGAAAAAAATGAGCACAAACTACCCAAAATACTTAATCATGGTATTAAATCACGTGCATTGCACGTGTGTAAAAACTAGTAAGAAAGAAAAGTATGAGATTAGTATATGATCCAATCTTTTAAACTTCGTTTAAAAGGAATGACTCATCATGGGAGCTCACACTTTTTTGAGAGTAGTTTAGAAAAGGTAGTATAGTTATTATTATTTAAGAAATGTTTTAAATAGCTGATCATTAAAGCAATCACATGCTTTCCTTCCTTTAGGGATAGGCATGACCTGAGCCAGTTTAGGCCCGTGAACCAACTCGCTTGGTTTTAAGCAAGACCAGGTTTGACATGGGTCAAAGCGGATCAGAATGAGTTGGGCCTGCCTTTCTAATCAGAGACTGGTACAGTTTGGCCCATGACCCGCTTACTTTCAGTCCGAGCATAAGCCAACCCATGCCATGTGGGTTGTGGGTCAGCCCATGGTCTTTTTTCAATTTAATATTTAATTTTTTAACCTTTTTAAATATATAAAACTTGTTTATCGTTATAAAATTATATTTACGTTTATTTTTTACTATTAATATTTTAAAGTATTTTTTTACTATTTAATTATAATTTCTATTGTCTGATTGCAGGAATCCCCTGCAAGCAGACATCACGCCCAGGAGCCAAAAGCCAAAGGCCCTTTGGCTTTGCTGGCCTACTGTAGCAAGCTCCAGGCCAACAAACGCAAAAATATCGGGCTGGGTCAGGCTTACCCGGGGCAGGTCTGATTGGGACTGAGCCAATGTGCTTGGTCCTATGTTTAAGGTTTGACCCCTCCTCCTCTTGGTTCGAGTGTGTTGATAATATTGTGTTAGTAGTGGGTTTAGTCCCACATTAGTTATGAGGATAAACCTCATACTCCTCTATTTGTATATATATATATGTACACACTCAATATTCAATTTAAGTTAAATTTACCCAAGACTCTCTCTCTCACTCTCTCGCTTTAACATGGTATCAGAGTTTGGTTTAGGGTTTCCCAAATAATAAAAAAATTTCAAATAAATAAAAAATTTTCTTCTAAGTTGCCGATCTTAGTCGCCGCAGGAGATCTCGGCCGTTGCCATTGTCGACGAGTCTGTCGCTACCATTTCGCAAAAAAACTCCGCTAATTGACTTCGAACTCGTGACCGTACTTGGGATTGAAAGAGGGGGCTTTTTTGCAAAATGTCACCGAAAGCATCTCTCTTAAATCCCTCTCGTGACCACTCTCGTTATCCCCAAAATAAAATCCCCAAAATCAAATCCCCATCACCGACTTCCCCCAAATCCATCCCCGTCACCGCCGACCGCGACCCCATCACCGCTGGCCGCGACATCCCAATCTTCGACCGCAACTCCGACGGACTCATCTCCCCCTCGTTGTCGCCCCCCCAACTCCTCCACGACACCACCGTCGCCTGAGAACTCCGGACAACTTCGCCGCTGCGAGATTGAACCGGCGCTGCAGGTAATAACTCGAACCCTCTCTCTCTCGATCCCTCTCTCTCTCTCTCGATCCCTTTGATTGGATTGGCTTCGAGGAAATGGGTTTTTTTTCTTTCTTTGATTGGTTCTGCTGAAATTGGTGACTATGGAGATGGGGATTTGGATTCTGGGTGTAGATTGATTGTTGTTGAAGCACCACTATTTGTGTACTAAAAATTGTAGTCAGGTTATTGTGTTTCTTTTCCTTTGACTATTTGAGTAGCTGACAGAAAATTGTTGTCAATTTTAGTTTGTAGATTACATCTGTTTTAGGCATTTCTACGACTGCAACTAAATTTTATAGTCAGGTTATTCTTTGTTATATATTTTATTCTGCTGATATTCTAATATCTTGGTCAGTTGGATTGTGCTCAGAACTCTTTTGCAGTTGAATCACTCATTTCCTGTGTTTGCAGGACTGTTGTTTACAAAGGACAACTGAAGCCAGTTCAGTTGAAGAATTACTATTATGCTGATCTTGGTGATGAAAGGTTCACAAGTTATATGGCACTGGTAAATACTCTTACATTCTTCTTAATGCACAGTCTGCATTTAACAGCAAGCTGCTTGGAGAAGTCTCTCGTAGCAGAACAAAAGTAAGGTTAAGTAATGAGGTTAAAGGCATCCAAGTTTGTATTCCTTCTGTTTTGCTGTATTGAATATTATTTGAATTTGGGTATGGATGCCTTGGGTAAGTCGGTGAAAGGTCTCAATAGTTGATGAATAATAAACGTGTTGCAGAATCCCGTTGCACTGTTCACTGTGGTCTGTACTTCAGGAAGCTTCCAATACGGAGGTGGAAAGAGAATAATATATAGTAAGGTAGCTTAGGGCTTCCACATTACTTTGTATTGGCACTGATGATAGGCAGAATCCCTAGTTCATTTTAAGTGCCTTGATGCAAAATGATCTTGGATATTCAGATGAATTTTTAATTGGCATGAAAGCTAAAGATATAAGAAATTATTGGACAGATTATTGAGTTGCTTTGCTCTTATGCGGGTACACTCTAGGTTCTCAACAAATACCTTTCCTAGCTGGGATCGTGCTCAGCCCATGCGCATCTTGGGTCACAACGGAGAGATTAACACACTTCGAGGCAATGTTAACTGGTAAAGTTTTTAGGCACTGAAAACATATTTGCAGAGATAACTGCCTGATAAATAATTGAATCTCATTTCTTTTCTCAGGATGAAGGCGCGTGAGGGTCTTCTAAAGTGCAAAGAGCTGGGATTGTCAAAGGATGAGATGAAGAAACTTTTACCCATTGTTGATGCTAGCTCTTCTGATTCTGGTGGGTTCACTTAAATATTTTTGTGAATAAAGTCCTACAGGTTACATTTAAATACAGGCTGTAATCCATATGTTTTTTTTTTCTTTCATGGTATGAGAACTTGTTGTCCTTTTGTGTACAAACTACTACATGTAAGCCACAGTATGTGTATCATTAGTGTCAGCTTGCCGTTATGCTTTTTCTTTTCTAACGGGAAAAGAGGGACAGGAACAGAGACACAATTCATGTTATTAATAGAAAATGCGAGGAAGGAAAAAATTAACGCACATGTATTAAATACCTTATCTGATATATGTGATGCAAGTAACAGACATGATAAGATGTTAAATACCTTATATGATATTCAGACCGATGAAGATGGTCGATGATGCAGGCATAATTCTTGCTCCATATTTGAACATACAGAACCCTGTGTAGTGTTCTTTGAGTATACTGATATTTATTATCTCACCATAACACAAACATTGCGTCAACAATGGTTGTTTTGTTTGTTTCCTGTTGCAATGTTTCAGTTATTAAATCTTAATTACATTTTGTTGGATTCACTTGTATTAAATTAATTGGAAGAATGCACTCTAATCCCCTTCTTTTTTGGTGCAGTGTCTTATCTGTAGAAAAAGGAAATGAATCCCGCCTTAAGCGGATGATATATAACTTGATCCCTGTAGGTAATTGTGTTGGCTGTTTTCCTTTATAAATTCAGTTCTCGAGTTTTCTTATGAGCGAGGACTTTGACAAGTTGTGTTTTGTTTTATTTGTTCCCTCTTATTGAACTACATCCCCATTTAGGATTTATGTTGCATGTTTAATCTGGATTTATTGAGTTTGATTTGTGTCATCTCTGCGCAGATGGGTCAAAAGTTGAGGATGTGAAGAAGCCTGTCAATCCAATTTCCTTCCTCTTGCGTTTCATTTTGGGTACCAACGCCGCAACCTACTATGTCCTGGTGCCCATTTACATGTGGATTAAGGATCAGATATTCCCCAAGGGTATGCCAATATGAAGAGAGCACTGGCAAAGCAAAGAGAGATGACATTTATGTATTCATTCAGAACTAGTAGCGGCTTCTTTGTCCAGATTTTTGTATGAAAATCTATTATGATTCAACTGATGGA